AAAAGCACTATCTTCTTATTCGAATGCTTTCCTTTAACTCTTGATGACAGAACATGGGCATGGGCACGGGCACACGCGCGCATGCGCGCGCGCACACACACACACACACACACACACACAACTTGGAGACTGAATTACACAAAATTTGAAACTCATCTCACAGCTCAGATTACCCATGTTTTGTTCACTGAGATCCAAATGTCATGGCCAATACATAATCATACTTCTAAAATTATACAAAACTCAAATTTTAATAGTTCACTAGTCTGTTCAATCATTTAAAATACAAATTTTGGGCCCTATGGGTTTGGCTTCTACAAATTCAGCAGATCAGAGGTGGAAAATATTGAGAGGGAAATTACATTTGTGAACACATAGATGTTTTTCTTATTATTCCCTAAACAATACAATTATTTAATAGCACTTACACTGTATTTTTTTTTTGGCTGTTGAGTCATTTTGAGTCTCACTTTATAGTTCAGCCTGGCCTTAAACTTCTGATGATACACCTGCCTCACCTTTCAGCCTCTCATATGCTGGGATGAGTGCTAGAACTACAAACACACTGAACATATATTAGATGTTATATGTAAGTAAGTAATGTGATTTAAAGTTTACATAAGGTTGTGCTTAGCTTTTAGACAAATACTGGTAGTATGTCATTCTTTAAGACTGCAAGTTATCTAGATTTTGCTATCCAGGGAGATCTTGGTATCAAAACCCAGCAGATACCAAGGGGACACTTGTTTTTAAAACAAACAAATAGATAAAACTTAAAATGTATTTAAGAATTACGGTGCAGACAAGCATGGTGGTACATGTCTGTAATCCCAGCACTAGGGAGGCTAGGGCAGGATGACTGAGTTCAAGACCAGGCCAGGCTGCAGTGAGTCCAATGTTAGCCTAAACTACATTGAGACCTTTTCTTAAAAATAAAATAAAACAATTACAGTGGACCCTTGACTTACATATTCAATTTATCCACAAGAGCTGGTGGTAATTCAAGTTGATTGTAAGTCAAGACTTTTTCTCCGTAAGAAATAATGGAAATATTCATGTGTTCTGAACCTCCCAAAGTTCATCTAACTTTTCACAGTAATAACAGTTAGATAATGTGTGTAACTTACCAAGAAACAATTTTCCTAGCATATTCACCAAAAAGTTCCGAAATATATCTAGTTTATCAATCAACAATTTCGTACTGTACTTACCATCAAGTTGATGTTTTTGGCTTGCAGGAAGGGAGGATGAAATTAAAGGTGACTACTATTTGAAAGGAGGATCCCCTTCCCTAAGAACATCAGAACATGGCTCTCTGTTGTCCTTTCTCTCCTTGCGAGAGTCTACAGACGATGACTAGGACCAGCCTCTGCCTCAGTATGTCTAGCTGATACTTCCCATCCTCTTCATAAAGCTCCTAGGCTGCCCTTCTCTTGTTTGCTCAGCCAGAAACTGCTGAAGTTCCTCCGTAGACAGACAATTCCTCTGGGTGCTCCTCCATCAGTTCCTTAACACTGTTACCTACCTGCAAGACTACGGACTCTGCTATAGTGACATCTACCACAAGGTCAGATGAAGCCTCAGGGTCTTCTACACAGCCTTCAAAGTCTCTCTCCTCTGTAATTTTAGGCCACATTTTCTTCCAGAGATCTCTGCGTCCTTAAGAGACACTGGGCCAGGATTTCTCAATTAACCCCACACAGGAAAGGATGTTGTAATGTTCCTTCAAGAACTTTTTAAGGGTAAAATCTATAGTTGAGACCATTTGGAAGTATTTCAGGAACAATTTTTCGGCATAAAGCTTCTTAAAGTTAGCTATAACCTGCTGGTCCATCAGCTGCAGTAAAGGAGTTGTATTAGGCAAGAAAAACTGAATTGACTGCTATGGGAATTCTTCAGACAATTCTTCCAAATCTTGTGGGTGAGCAGAAGCACTGTCCTTGAAGAGGAGAGCTTTGAGTGGCAAATTTTGTCTTCTATAGATTTCTTAACTGTAGGACAAAAGCCCCCTGATTCACTCAAGAAAAAGTACTCTTGTTACCCTAATACTTTTGCATGAAACTGCCACATGGTCCCTATCTATTCTTCATGACTTTTTAACATTTGCGGTGTTTCACAGTGTAAACTGAGACTTCATCTTGAAGTCATGACTTGAACTGGAATAGCAGTACGTTTGGCCGATCCTTCAAAAGCTCGAGGTCTGGCATTTTGTTCTCTTCCTGGGAAATGTACATTTTCCTCAACATTTTCTTCCAGAAAAGGCCAGTTTCATCACAGTTCAAAACTTAATGAAAGCCATTTCTCTGGGTCATTGTTTCAAGTGGTATATATAATTTTAAGCAGCCCTTTTCATCAGCACTGGCTGCTTCACCACACCTAGTTACATTATGAACCCCAGTTTTTGCTTCAAAACTGTGAAACCAGCTCTTACTGCCATAAAATATTTGACCATAATCACTCACTGAAACAATATCTTTTAGGAGATCTATATAGACATAGCTTTTGCACAAATTATAAAACTCATCTAGGCTATAACCTACCATCTGTCTTTCATTTATCCACACTAATAGCCTTTCTACCTTATCTAATACTGTTGACCATGACTTAATTTGACAGACACCTTTAGCAACACTAGCTTCCTTATACAAATCTTTTCTCTATAAAATTGTTGAGATGGTGGATTTAACATGCTATACATATTAGTGAGATTGGTCACACAAATGCGGCTCTTCTATTTCCCCACAATTTTTTTTTTCCTACTGTGATTGTTTTCTTCACCTCCCGTTCTTATTTTTTGGCTTTTTGGAAACCATTTTGATAGCAGTAACTGTAGTAATTATATAAAGCAATGACAGAAATCATGTATACAAACACACTAACTTGGGCTCAGACTGACATATATAGTCCTCATGAGTCATTCATGTTCGAATTCAAGACTTTGGTCTTAAACTTAAAATTCCAGTCTTAACCCAAGGTAAATGTGTGAAGCTGGTCAAAACTCAATGAACCACTGATCCACTGTTAAGAATTGCTTGCAATGGGGTTGGGGACTTAGCTCAGCGACATAAGCGCCTGCCTTGCAAGCAGGCAGTCGTGAGTTCGATCCTTGGTACCAATAAAAACGAAAAAAAAAAAAGACAAAAAAAATTTTAAAAAAAGAATTGTTTGCAATGGTGCAGCAAGCCTGTAATCTCAGCTGTTTAGGAGGCCAAGTCAGGAGAAGGATGAGGAATTCAAGGCCAGCTGGGACAAATTTAGTTACTAATGTGTTTCAACATAAAAATAAATAAATAAATAAATAAAATGAAGGGAGCTGGAAAAAAATTTGTTTATAAAGGATTGAGGCTAGAGCTGGGACTGGGGCTGGAGGATGTAGTACATGGTAGAGCTGCGCTTATTGGGTGCCAGGCCCTGGGTTTAATCTCTAGCACAATCCAAACCCCAGTCCTCTTTACATATTTAATAATTAAGGTCTGGACTGGGGGTGTGACTCAGTGGTAGAGCACTGCCTGGCATTTCTAAAGTCTAGGTTTAATCCCCAATACTGCATGCATATGCAAAAGAACTAATGTTTAAATTACACTTACTTATTTTTCTAACAGGTGGGTCACTTTATAGCAAACTAATGCAAAAGATCTGAGATATTACCCCTCTGGCACATAACAAAGTAGTCTACCAGTTTCATATATGGTGAAAGGTGAGACTATGAACTGGGTACCATGCCTGTAAGCCAAGTTGGAGGCCTGTATGGGGGGAGGTACAGCGACAGGGCAGTTTATTACTTACAGCAATAAGAGTACTATACCCTCAGAGCCTAGTTCTCACAGGACAAAGTGAAGGGAACCACTCACACCTGTACAGGCAGTCGGTTGTGTTACATAGCGGAATCCTGGGCTTAGGGAATCCTAATGTTTTATGGTGGGTAATAAGCATGTCTACACTTTGGCTCCAGAGGGAGACATAATCTTTATTATATTGGACAGTATAGGCGCCTGCCCTTTGCTGTGGGGAACCCTTTCTTCCAAAGCTGTTCCTCATACAACGTTCTTGACAAAACAGAAACAAAGGGCAGGCAGATCTCTGGCAAGAGGGGACGAGAGGCCCATGGAACGAAGACACTTCCTAGGATATAGTTAAATAAATGGGTCTCAAACTATGGTATACTTAAGCCATTAATTTTACACATGCTCTCATCTCATGTAATTACTTCGCGAACTACCCAATTAAGTCATTCTAAAAAATATGTATTAAAAATTAACGAGTTTCCTTTGCCACTCAATATTTTTTAAAATGATGTGCTCGAATATTTGCTGTTATTAAAAAATTTAAAAACTTCAAGCATTCTCCTAGACACAACGACCGTGCTGACTTTAACTTTCATGTTTCAAACCTGTTAACGTTGCTAAAGGGAACAACCTGTCAAAAAGTCTCATTATCCCACCGCAAACACTACAAAAGAGCACTGTAACTTTCGGCCGCTGCCTATAAAATAACGAACAAGCACCGCACTTTGTGAATCACTTTGTTCTCTTTCTCTCTATCCTTCATTATCTCAAAATAAAAACCTTCCAAAGAAGCGAACAAACAGCAAAAACCACCGTCTCTCAATCCCTTTGTCCCCAGTAGAGAATAGAAGAGGGCTGGAAACTCAATAAGGCAAAGCCCCCCAAACACGCGAGATAGGAAACAGACGGCGTTCAATTTGTAGTCACTCATCAAAGCAAAGTCTCCTCGCTCACTCCTTCCCCGGCGCAGCCCAACCGCGCTCCGTGGGCTGGGAGGGGAGAGTGGCGGGGCCCGGGCGGGCTGGGCACAGGCTGCAGACAGTAGCGGAGCCCCGGGGTGCGCGTGGAAGTTGCCAGGCGCGGCGTGGGAAGCGGGTCCTCTCTCCCATCCCCGCCGAAGACACGGAAGCCACACGCACCCTCCTGCCCCTCCCCCGCGTGCCCCGGCGGCGGCGGCGACAGATCGCGGTCCCCTCGCGTCCCCGGCCCGCTCACCTTGAGCAGCGAAGGGTGAGGAGCCGCCGACCGGCGAGCCGGGTGCCAGCAGCGGCGGCGCGGTGTCGGCCGCGCCGAGCACGGGCGCCGGCAGCATGAGGTAGCGGTGCGGCGCGGGCAGGCAGCGCTGGCAGAAGGAGTGCAGGCAGGGCAGCAGCTTGGGCGCGCGGCTCTGGATGTTCTGGTGGCACACGGCGCAAGTGTCCAACAGGTTGAGCCGGGCCGCCTCACCGCCGCGCTCCGAGTCTGGGCCTTGGCGGCTCTCGGCCTCGTTCTCCCCGCTCGGCGCCGCCGCCGCCGAGGGCCCCCCGGCGGCCGCCGCCGGAGCCGCCGCTTTCTCCACAGCCACCTCCATTGTCCTGGCCCGCGCCGCCACCGCCCCCCGCGACCTCCGCCTCCGCCACCTCCTCCTCCTCGGAGCCGAGCGGCGGGGGAGCGAGCGAGGAGCGACGCGGAGCCGCGCGGAGGAAGCCTCCTCAGTCCCGGGGACCCGCCTCCCGGTGGCTTGGCCGGAAGCAGGGGCTCTGTCCGCGGCAATCGTTCCTGCACGGCGTAGACAGCGTCCGGGCCGCTTCGCCAACCGCCTGGGCGCTCGCCGAATCCGCCCAGAGCGCCCTCGCCTCCCCGCCTTTCTCACAAGCCCCGCCCCCCTAGGCCCCGCCCCCGCTCTCTCTCGCCCAGCAACCGCGGCGCCAGACCAGAGCACGCCGCCCAATAGCCGAGGCGCCTGGCGAGGGGGCGGGAAGTACCGAAGCCCGCGAGGATCCGACGGCCCCGGCGGAAGGCGGGGAAAAGGGAGGTGCTGGCTCGGCTCCGCCCCTTAGGCCCGCCTAAAACCACGGTTTCTGATTGGGTCTTTGTATGCGTTGCGCTCCTCTGAGAAGATTAAGGATTCATTTGTTAACGACCTGGCACCTAATTGGGTCCCAGGGTTTAGCTCCTCCCACGGGGTGGGGTTCCACCTTGCTACTCCGCCGTTAATTGACTAACTGCGCTAGAAATTCCGTTTTTACTACTACAGACCGGGTTCTGTCAGAGCATATAACATGGTGGGTAATTCCGTGGAGAACGGGATGGAGGTAGGTGGCGCAGATGGCGAAAGAATCAGAGACTTACTGCGTAAGAGCTACTGTGGAGGACTGAGTGAATTCACCTCCTTAATGAATGAATGAGTGAAGAATACGGAAGGAAGTTGCTCTTACAAGTTAAATTTTTAAAAACTTCCCCATGAACACATGCTTTCCTTGAACTCACTATGTAACTCAGACTGCCCCCGAAATTAATTTTTAAATTATTTTTTCCCTTCAAGGGATTGAACCTAAGATGTGATGGGGCTACATGCCCCGACCCTTTAAGAAAGATTTTTTAAAGTTTATCAAACCTGCCATCCTGCCTCAGCCTCCACAGAATCCAGGATTAGAGATGAGTGCTGCTTAGCTCACCTGAAATTAGTTTTTGAAGGAAACCTTTTTAAATGGGTAAAAGTGAATATTCATGGGACAATCATCTACAGCAGCTGAAGCCAGACATGCTGTGGTGATGTAAGCTTGTGTAGTGCCAGCACTAGGGAGGCCAAAGCCGGAGGATCTTTGCCAGTTTGAGAGTAGCTTGGGTTGCATAGTGAGTTGAAGGCCAACCTGAACTATAAAGGGAGACCCTTGTCTCAAACACAAAACAATAACAAAAACAAATCCAGGTGTAGTGTGCCTGTAATATCAACTCTTCAGAGGCTAAAGCAGGAAAATACCTGAGTTCAAGGCCAGCCTCTACTACATGAGACCCTGTCTCAAAAAACAAAAGGGATGAGGTTGTAGTTCAGTAGCACAAATGCATACCTGGCAAGCACAAGGTCCTGAGTTTGGTTCTCCATACTTATAAATAAATAACCTGTTGTGGTGGCACTTGCCTGAAATTCCAGCTCCCTAGGGAAGCAAAAGGATTGAAAACTCAAACCCACCCTGGGAAGATTATCGATTTATTAGCAAGATCTTGTCACACACAAAAAAAAGAGTAAGAAAATGTAAAAAAGGGCTAGAAATGTTACTCAGTGCAAAAATCCCTGGTTTAATTCACATGATCGAAAATAAATGGAGAGCCTCGTGTGGTGGCACATCCCCTTAATCTCAGCAAAAAAAGGTAGGAGGATCATTTCGAGTTGGAGACCAGACCGGGCTACAAAATGAGTTCAAGGCCAGCCTGAGCAGCATAGCAAGTCCCAGTCTCAAAAAAAAAAAAAAAAAAAAAAAAAGACCAAGTTTACAGGAGCTGGAAGAGTATAAACAGAATTCACTGTTGTGAGGTGGTAGCAGATCTTAAAAGGTAATGGAGGAGCTGGGGATGTAGCTTAGGGACACATGTGCCTGCCTGCCAAGTGCAAGGTCCTGAGTTCAATTCTCAGAAACAAAAAAGTAATAGGGTTCTGAAAGGCCTCCTAAAACAGATAATCCTGAAAGAATAAATTCAGTGGTACCTGAGGAGGGCCAGTGCCAAGCAATCCCTTCCTCAAGACTTTACCTTTCTTCTCCTACCAACCTCTTTCCCTAGCAGGTCCTTCAGTCCTATCTCCATAGGCTCCAAGTGTGTGGTTCTGAGCTAGGAAATTAGGGTATGGATAAAGCTGGCAGGGGAAGCAGGCATAACCTGTTATCTACAAGATCTCAGACTGTGCCGAACAATTTCCAAAGCTCCAAGCAGGTTCTCAGTAGCTTGGTTTGTACATGGCCTTGTTCCGAGATGAGATCCCAGCAGCACCTGTAAGGACCCAGATATACAATTTTCATGGATTTCTTTGAAATTTGGACATATAAAGGGCACGAAGAGCTTGTTATCAGGGCTTTCCATCATAACCCACGCAATGTTTCCCAGGTGCGGGGTGTACTTTTTTTTATCTTTATTCTCACCCTCTTTTTCTATTTACCTGGTCCAAGAAACCCACTTCACTTTTACTTTCTTGAAAAAAAATTTCCCACTGCTTTACTGTTTGCTTGTTTTGTTCGATTCTTTGCTTGAGAGAAGAACCTGGAATCCAAGTCCAGAATGAGAGGCGAGCAACCCAGAACCTGTAACATTTCATTGGTGAGCCACTTTTAGGCTACTGAGTATCAGCTCTGCTACTTAATGTTAGTCAGTGGCTATTTATTTTGCATAGCACAGTTGAGTCTTGCAAACACATGGGTTTTCAATTTATGTTTTTGACTAACCCGCTATGAACATTCAGGATGGAGGAGGAAAATCACATATTATTCTGAACACAGAAAGACTTGTCATTACTTCCTAAACAATACAGTATAACAACTTCCTAAACAATACAGTGTAACAGGGTATGATGGCACATGCTGAAGTCTCATCACTTGGGACTCTGAGGCAGAAGGGTTATCCGGGGTTCAAGGTCAAACTGGGCTACATAGTAAGACTCTGTCTCAAAAATACTAGAATTACCTAGAGATGACTAAAGGGTTTAAACATGGATGTTCAGCTTTTTAGTTCACCTACGCTGTATTGAGTGAAGAGGAATTACATGGGACTGAATATAAAGTATATAACATAATGTACATAAGTAACAAAATTTCCTTTTTAATTTTTATACCACAAAAAGGGATGGCAACACTGAAAACTTGTAGCATATTTAATCCTATTTTGTGAAGTTAATATATCAAAGTCTGGTTGAATGGAAGTAGTGGTTCCAATTCTTAGTTTTCAAGATACTTGTCAGAAATTTTTGACCTAACTTCCTCTTTGTGTGCTTTGCCCTTGATAACAATTGGTCACAAATATACTTACTGTGAAAAAAACAAAGATAAGTCAGGTGTTGTGATAGAAACCTGTAAACCCAGTGTTCAGGAGGCTGAGGCAGGAGGATCCATGAATTCAAAGCAGATTTGGGCTACAAAGTGAGTTCAAGTCCAGCCTGAACTGTACAGAGAATCCTTGTCTCAAATACAGCCACACAAGAATAAGGTGTCATTGTGAAGCAAGGGACTCTGTTCTTTGGGAAGATAGTTCTTTAAAAGTCTAGCAAAGGACGTGATCAGATTTTACTTTGTCTGATTGCAGCTTTACATGTTCTACTTGAAACTTTGCAGGAAACATTTGTGTTGACTGAAAGTGGAGTTGAAAATGTATAGACAAGTCTATTATTTTTAAAAGAAATTTTTAAAGGCATTCTCAAATTCCTATATCAAGTAAAGACTGGGCATGGTGATGCATGCCTGTAATCTCAGCATTCAGGAGGCTGAGGCAGGAGGATTACCATCAGTTCAAAAAGTCAACCTGGGAATGTGAGTTCCAGGGTAGCCTGAACTGCATAGTGAAACCCTATCTCAAAAAAAGATAAAGGTGAGCTGGGGATATCACTTAGTAGTGTGGCTGCCTGGCAAGTGCAAGGTCATGAGTTCTGTTCCATGTACAAAAAAAAAAAAAAAAAGAAAAGAAAGAAAGGGTGAATTTTTTTGCTATTCACAAGGTTATATTTTGTCAACATATTAAATTGAGTCAGTGCCATTCGCAGGCCAGAGGTTGGACAACCAGATACCAGCCCCTCCCAGCGTGTGGGCTGGGAGACAAAAAGAGCCAAGTCCCATTCACCATCACCCCATCGAGGAAGTGACTGGATGATCTGGAGAAACACAGACTGAAATGACAGTTATTAAAGTAAAATATAATTTAATGCTTGTAGTGTTTAGTGTTTCACTGACTTTGTAGGTTCAAAGCCAGTAATCTGATCATCTATTTAGAGGATTACAATATGCAGTATAGAATTTATGGGGGGTGGTCTTCTTCTGAAGGTGGTAGCCATTGTTAATATCCTATTAGCATGTTATGGCTGGGGATTTAGCTTAGCGGTATAAGTACCTGCCTGGCAAGCATGAAGTTGTAAGTTCAAACCCAGAGCCAAAAAATTCTGTATCATTTTCATTGTTTTGTTTTGTTTTTAGAGCAGAATATATTTACTGAGAGAAAGAAAGCTTCTGTCTGAGAGAGAACAGAATATATTTACTGAGAGAAAGAAAGTTTCTGTCTGAGAGAGAACAAAAGAGGTCCCAAGTGAGTTGTCCTGATTTGGTTTTCTGTTTTGTCTTGTTTGATTTTTTTTTTTTTTTGGTGGTACTGGGGATTGAACTCATGGCCTTGTGCTTGCCAGGCAGGCACTTAATGCCTGCTGAGCTAAATCCCTGGCCCTTTGTTTGATCTTTTTATATCTGATGGCATGGGCAACTATTTCAAAGATAGTAAGATATATTGTAGTAGCTATTTTGGACTTACTATTATCTTGTTTTGAAGTCCTGTATTGCATACATTGTTATATTCTGTTCTGTTTTGTTTTATTTTACTATGTCTAATGGTATGGGCAGCTATTTTGAAGACAACAAGAAGCATTATGGTAGCCATTGTTGATTTCCTATTATCTTGTTTTGAAACCCCATGTCACTTATAAGGGACAAAATGAGTCTTGCCTCCCTTTCTTGCATTCTTTTGCTATCTTCTGCTGCCATGAACTTTTGCTTCTCTGCCATGTGCCACCCTGACTTGGAACCAGCTGACTATGGACTGAAAATTCTATATACTATGAGATACATAAATTTCCTCCCTTAACTTTGGGCCTTGGGTATTA